AGACTTGAAATGATACCATGAAAAGAAGAGAGGTTTTTGGAGGAGTGAAAAATACACCTTAGGAAAGAGTCTGAGATGATGCTTGCAAAAGGAGAAAAAGCAAGAGATTAAAAAAAAAAAAAAAAAAAATTTCAAAGTCCCATCAATTTTACAGAAAGTTCAATAACCGCCTATGGAGAGGATACACATACTGTGAAGGTTGAAGAGATTATGACTAATTATATGGAAGTGAGGACATCGAGTAACTCCTTGTACAGTATCCAAATTACTGAAACTGGGTGATTTTATTTTCCAAGTGTTAAGCCATACCCACAGGAAACAAGCAGAGCTATTCTACCCTATTAAAGCGCCTTAGCTAGGCATGCATTCTGCAACAAGTCTCCATGGCAAACTTCCTCACACACACTCCTAAATACAAAGAACTCCTCCGAGTGAGCGCTAACAAATGGGCTTGTGCAACTTCAACTAGAGCGATATTCTGCTACTCCTGGGATCTTTCCGTGAGAGAATCAGAGCATTATCCTCACCTTGCCACGCTAAACTTGTGTAAGAATTTTAAAATTGGCCCTGGCTGGTTTGGCTCAATGGATAGAGCGTTGGCCTGTGGACTCAAGGGTCCTGGGTTCGATTCCAGTCAAGGGCACATGCCTGGGTTGCGGGCTCAGTGGCCCGGTGTGCAGGAGGCAGCTGATCCATGATTCTCTGTCATTACTGATGTTTCTATCTCTCTCTCCTTCTCCTTACTATCTGAAATCAATAAAACATATTATATATATAAAAAAAGAGAATTATAAAATAGTAGAACTCGTGGAAGCTACAAGCAGCCTTCGATAGAATCTAATAGATCCAATTACTTCGTTTTTAGATGAGGAAATTGTCATCAAATGAAAAAGAAGGAGCCGAAATGGGTTTGGCTCAGTGGATAGAGCCTGCGGACTGAAGGGTCCCGGGTTTGATTCTGGTCAAGGGCATGTACCTTGGTTGTGGGCACATCCCCAGTAGGGGGTGTGCAGGAGGCAGCTGATCAGATGTTTCTCTCTCATTGATGTTTCTAACTCTCTCTCCCTCTCCCTTCCTCTCTGTAAAAATCAATAAAATATATTTGAAAAAAAAAAAAAAGAAAAGAAAAAGTAGAAGGACTTGCCCAAAGGCCAATCACTCGGTGGCATGGTCAGGACAATGATCAAGGGCTCAGACCTACCACGGTCTCCATGAAGCCAGAGAAACAACCTTTGTAATCTTAAGCCTGCGCACCAGACACAACCTCGGATGTGGAAATCTGTGCTCCAGGTCCACATTTCTCAAAGCTTGTGGCAATCACACACATACCAGTGTGCAATCCCCTCCCTACGGCCCTCGTGACTTCATCTCTTTCTCCCCGGATCAAGAAATCCTGGAATGTAGGCGATTAAGAGTGACCTTATGCCATAATACAGGAGGAACTGTCAATCCTTTTGATCCAATAAACTTTGAAATGGGAATGCCAGTAAGAGCACTTCCTTTAAAACACCTCAGGGTCAAGTGGGACAGAGCCAGTGCGTTGTGACACAGGGCTGAGAACTGCCGTTGCAAAACAGAAATAGTCAGTACAGGTGCAGCAAGTGGTGGGAACACGGGAATCCCATCAACAATGCCGAGGATTACTGTGGACTCTGCCCCCAGCTTCAGATAAAGCAGCTTTCAGCAGGAGACAGACACTGTTAGACAGGACAAGTTTCAACGGGCCGAACAGGTATCCTCTCTCCCGGACCTTCTCAGATCTGGACAAAAGACTACACGGGGAGAATGCTGAGTTGGGCAATCGCATGTGGGAATGGCATCCGAATCGCATTTCCCAATTCTGCCCCTCGGTGTGGCCTTGAGTCTTTATTTACTCACTGCAGCCTTTTTATTTTTTATTTTTATTTATTTATTTTATTTTATTTTTTTATTTTTTAAACAATTGAGGTTTGGGTTTTTTGTTTGTTTGTTTTTAATATATTTTATTGATTTTTTTTTACAGAGAAATAGAGAGCTAGAAACTTTGATGAGAGAGAAACATCGACCAGCTGCCTCTTGCACACCCGCTACCGGGGATGTGCCCACAACCAACATACATGCCCTTGACCGGAATCGAACCCGGGACCTTTCAGTCCGCAGACCGACGCTCTACCTCTGAGCCAAACCGGTTTCGGCCACTGCAGCCTTTTTAAGTGCCTGCTGTGTACCAGCTCTGTGGACTCCAAAGTGGGGAGGGAACCCCTGGTCTCAGTCAGTCCTGAGGCCTCCAGAGTGGGATGCACACGCTGCTGGGGGAGGGGAAAGTACACCACCATTGAGGAATGAGGAGAAAATAAAAGCACTGGGGTGAATAACCATCAGTCTCATCTTTTTAACTTCCATTTTGGTGCTTGTAATTTCATGTGTAATGAAAGTGGCCTTGATGAACATACTCCAGAAACTCGGAATCTGCGAACCAAACTTTGGGAACCATGGATCTGGCCTGTTGGTGTGTAACTGCAGCCCACTTAAGTGGTGATGGGAAGAGCAGATTGGGAAAGAGACCCCAAATGAATCGAAGGTGTCCTATAAGCTGGGCCTGTGTGGATCTATGAACCAGGAGATCAGGGTTCGATTCCCAATCAGGGCACATGCCTGGGTTGCCAGCTCCTAGGCGGCATGCTGGACGCAGTTGATCAATGATTCTGTCTCATCACTGATGTTTCTATTTCCCTGTCCCTTCTTCTCTGAAATCCATAAAAACTTATTTTAAAAAAAGAAAAAAAGATCCACTGCAGTGTGCAGAACCACAGCACCTGCCCCTTCTCAATGTGGCTTTTGAAAATCACTGGACTCGCTGGTTTCCCCAAATGCAAACATACTGTCCTTCAGATGGGGCGTTCATATACTATATACTTTTGAGAGTGAAATGAAGAGCATTACATAAGTGAGGCGTTATCAAGGTATACAACCACTCTATAGGTTAAGGTGGAAGAAGAAAATCAAACACACTTGCTGCGGCTCAGAAAGTGCTATGCTGATGCTAGTTCAGACAATCTAACCTGGACTGGTGCCCATTATTCTTCTCTTTCCCGAGCCATGAACAATACATTTTGTAACACTCCAGGTTGAGAAGATAGCATTTCACGACCTGCAGTGAGCTCTAAAGGAAGACGCCTGATGCTTCCCAGAGAGGAGTGTGCTCTCATAAAAAATATGCTATTTCTTTATGGTTTTAGGTACTAATGTAAAACAGCCCTTTTCCTTATAGGGCAAGCGTACTCATTAAAACTCGAGGAATCTGCTACATAAGGTCTTTACAACGGTCGAAACAGTAAAATTATGCTTTTCTGTTATAGAGAGGCTTGACGGAGGTTTCCGGGAAAGACAGCTCTCCCGCGTGAGTTACCTGAACGTTTCAAAAAGACCTGGGAGAAAAACAGCCCCATTCTCTCTACCCAGGTCTTGCCCTGATTTCTCTTCACTCCTCCTTTCCCACTTAATGTACCCTTGTGGGCAAATTAGCCTTCATTGCAAAGTCAATTTTTTTTTCATTGAAAAGTTAAACTTCAGCATCCTGAAGGAAAAGATTTTCAAATACCTAACAAACACCTGAGACGGGGGAAGAACTGAGAAAGGGGTGGGAGGTCCCTGAAGGAGCCAGCTTCCAAGGTCACAGACCTATCCATCAATACAACCCCGTTTCCAGAGGGCAAGCAGACACCTCCCACCTCCCACCTGGAAACTCAGCATCGACTCTGGCTGGCAGAGAAAGGATTTCTTCACCGGGTCTGTCATTCCTCTCAAACTGCCTGTGTCTAAGCTCCTTGCAGGAGCCATAAGGTGAAAAGAAATTCCCTTTACCCAAGCGCCTCTCAGTCCCTTTCTCTCTCCAACAGTTCTTTCTAGATGTAATCACTCCACTGGCCCCGCAGCCCAGAGCAAGACCATACACCTACCCCTGCACTCAATTACCTTCTTCTGCCTCTCCTGGCGGCATGTGCCAATGCCGCCCCCCAAGACGGATTTCAGCTACCTCTTCTTTGCTAAAGGGCCTATGTGAGGAGGGAGATTTTAAGTCTGAACCATGGGCGTGTTTTCCCAACCGCAGGCAGCTGGAAAGGGAAACACTGCTGCCTACAAGACAGCAGAACACCAGGGAACTGCCTACCTTCCCAATGGGCAGAGCATAGGTGCTAGAGCTTTTTTCCTCCAAAATCCTGTCCTCCAGGTTAGAATTCCTTCTTTAAAAGGCCTCGCTGGGTAAGAAGAGCATTTTCACCACGAGAAACCTGCCATCTCCCCTCTCCTTCTCCTCCCCTGTTTTGGCCTCGCTCGCCTGCCGGCTCCAGGCTCCCTGGTGTCTGCTGGGGAGGCCGGAGTGGACCTGGCGGGAGGTGCCAGGTCGCTCTACCTGCAGAGGCCGAGCTGGAAGGAGGCTCGCCCTGAGGTGCAGGTGTCTCTTCCGCCCACACGCTGCACACGCTGGAACCGGGAGGCTCCAGGTGCTGACCCAAGAAACGTGCCTGGGTCTGTACACTCCGGCCAAGTTCGAGAGTCCTAGGCGCCCTCACCCCTGCCGATTGCAAACCTCTAGCCTGCTGAGCTTTGGGGAGGGGGGTGTGGTGGAGGTAGGGGGAGGAGAGAAAGACGGGGAGGGGGAGGGTGTGAAAAGGGAAAGTCGCCTGAAAAGGCTGCCAGGGGCAAGTGTTTCCAGATTCCCCCTCCCTCCTCCTCGGCCCCAGATCCCCATCCAGATGCACTTGGGAATTGGGGGGAGGGATGATTGTGTCCCGAAAAGTCTAGAAAACGAGTTGCTCGCGGCTCGCACACAGACTGGCCAAGTTTGGAAAGCCCGCGGCGTCGGAGTGGGTGCCAGGCACCCCCCCTCCACCCACACACACACAGACACACAGGTGACGGGCGCCCCCTCCTCGGACAGGGTGGGGGTGAGCTGGGAGAGCCCGCCTCCCACCACCCCCACCCCCTCCCCACCCGCGGTCCCCTTGCCCCGCACTCACAGCGCTAGGGTGAAGGCGCTGAGCCCCTCGGGCACGGCCGTGAGCCCCTTGCCGGAGCAGTCCACCCGCCGGTCGCCGTCGCAGCTGCAGGGCGCCGCGCACTGGGCCGGGGCGGGCGCCGCGCCGCTGGGCTCGGCGGAGCCGCGCAGCCCCAAGGCGAGGAGGCACAGCAGGCGGAGCAGCGGGCCCGGCATTGCTGCGGCGATCGCCTCGCCTCCCGCCGGCCTCTCCTCGCTCGGCGCGCTCTCCGCTGCCCTCCGACGGCCCCGCCGACCCCGGGCGGCCGGCCGGCCTGCGGGTGGGAGCCGGGCTCTCGGGTCTCGGCGGCGGCGCGGGCTGGGCGCCTTCAGCAGTCCGCGGCTCCGGAGAGTCGCCCTTCCCGCTGCTCCATGGACGCGCGGAGGCAGCAGCCCAGCTCCCGCGGCGGCGGCGGCGGCGGCGGCGGCGGCGGCTCAGGCCAGCCGACCCGGCCGGGCGCCACGGCCGCTGCGCAGACCGCGCTCTGCCATCGCACCCGACCCCGGCCTCCCGCGGCAGCCGCTCCTCAAGGGCGCGGGGCGCAGCCTGCAGCCATGCCGGCCCCTCGCCCCAGCCCCCGCCCGGCTCTCTCGCCCCGACAGCCCCGGCGCTTTCTCGCCTTCTCGCCCGCGCTCTCCCCGCCGCCGCCGCCGCGGCTCGGTCTCCTCCCGGCCTTTTTCCCTTCTAGGGTTGCACGCTCGGGTTCTCAAGCCCCCGGCCGCCCGGTTATGCAAATCGCTTAGGTACATGCAAAACGAGCCCTTCTCCCCGGAGCGCCATTGGCCCGGGGAGGTCTCGGGCTCATTACTATGCAAGAAGGGTGGCCGCCATTGGTCAAGAGCGGGGCCAAAGGGGCGTGCGTATCGGGCGTGAGTGACAAGGTGGTGGTGGCGGTGGTGGTGGTTCAAGGCAAAATCCCTGACTTGGCTCTATGTGTGCGGCAGGTTGTGTGGGTGGAAGGTGGAAGAGTAGAAAGACGTCGAGTCGCGTTTTTCTCCCTCCCCCGCCCATCTTCTTCCTCCCGCAGAAATCGGATCCCTGCACTGGATGACCTGGAAAATAAAACTTGCCTGCAACCTTCAGTTAAGTTTCAAATGACTCTCCACTGTTCAGCCGGAGCGGACTTTGGGAGCTATGCAAATGGAAAAAAAAAAAAGATTTTGAAGAGGAGAGAAGTCTCCCTTAATCCGACAAAAAAATATTTGGGTTTTAGCTATATGCCAAACTAGAACAGTATATCCCACAAACCTCTCCCTTCACCTGAGATCTTTATTTCTATCTTTATATGTACTCGATAGCTAAATCTTAGGCATTAGCCATGGATGGTTCAGGATTTTGGTGACCAAAATTTAGACTGTTTCCTCACATACTTAAAAATCCTAAAATACGAGTATTTTGTAAGGATCAAAGGAAGTGATGTTTCTGAATATTGGACAAGTTCTCCAGACCACAAAAAGGTTGAGTGCTAACTGACTACCATTGAGAAGCCAGCAGCAACTTTGATGTTGGGTAATTATCAGCATTCTTTCCCCTTCTGGACTTTTGTGGCTTAATAGACCCCAAGGAATCATTATTTGTACCAAATACTATTTTATGGGCACCTCTTTTCTTGCTTTTTACTATGCCTTTGGGTTGTTTTACTCCATATTAGAGACATTTTTTGTGAATACTTTAAGGCAGATAAGGTTAAGAATGTCCAGTTGACTATTCATGTCACATAAGTAAAGAAAATAAAAATAACTCAATGCAGACTTAAACCAAAACATTTTCATCTTGGCATTCAGGTGTTTATCTTTAAAAAGAATGCCTGGCCATACCCGGATTGGCTCGATGGATAGAGTGTCCAACTGCGGACCCATGGGTCCCGGGTTCGATTCTGGTCAAGGGCACGTACCTCAGTTGCATGCTCCTCCCTGGTCAGCACGTGCAGGAGGAGAAACATCAATGTGTTTCTCTCACATTGATGTTTCTCTTTGTCTTTCCCTCTCTCTTCCACTCTCCCTAAAAATCAACGGGAAAATATTCTCGGGTGAGGATGAATGAAACAAACAAAAAAGGTAGTTCCAATAAAATGACACGTTTAAAATTTTTTTAAAGATAAAAAAATAATAAAAATAATGCCTGGTTAGGCATATGGCTAACATACATTTATTTATTGGCCAGAGAATCAATATATGACGCTATGCTTTGACTTTAGGTTTTAGGGATTACACATTTCCTATAATTGTAGGTGTGAAAGAGAACCTAAAGCTAGATGGACACCCCTCTGGTTTTATAGATAATAAGCCTGAAGCTCTCACATATTGTGCTCAGCCAGAGATCAGCACAGGAAAACTCCCAGGCTTCTGGCTTCTGGTCTGGAGCCTTCCCTACATTGGCTTCCATTGTCTAAATCACCAAGGGGTGAGTGAGGGGCTCTCAGGCAGTGCTCTCATAAGCAGGTGAAGTGAGGAAAAATTGTAAATCAAAGTTCCTTAATTATTCCATTCAGACCTCTCCTTTACAACATTGAAAGATGACAGCATTTCTCCTGTCAAGATATCACTTATTTTCTTTTGTTTTTAAATAACAATTTTAGACTAAACAGTTTGATTTTATTTTGCTAATTAACCCTTTCCTTTCTTTTAAAGTAGTGATTTTCAAACTTCAGTAAGCCTAAGAATCACCTACAAAGCTGGATAAGAAAGACAAAGTGAGTTAATAGGGCTGGAGCATAGCATCAGCATTTCGATTCGCATCCCATCAAAGTGACACAGGTGGTCCGTGAACCACACTTGGGAACGTTATTCTTGGCTTCCATGGAATAAAATCTTAGAGCTATCAACTTAGGTAAAAGGAGAGCATTGGATTTTGGAGAAAGGAGAAATATAGATTGTATTGAAGAATTAATTGCTATGGTCCATCAGATGCAGGTAAGAAAGGAGGATTCAAATTTGCAACTTGTGCAAAACAAAATAGTAGGACAAAGGACTTAGAAAAGAGGTTATTTCTGTCAGAGTGTTAGTGTTTCTTATAGTTGATACATTGCACATGCTTTGCATTAAAGATAAATTGGAAATTTGTCTTCATGCTTTAGATAAGATATCCTAAAAGAGCAAAACAGGGTAATTTTTAAGATAACTAGAAAAAAAATCGCTTACATAAACCGTAAGAATCTAGAAAGAAGATATCAGGATGAACCAACATTTGAGAGCAAGTAAAGAATAAACATAACAGAGACTCTGCCTCCAGACTGATTCCTCTTTCTAGTTTTTCATGACTCTGGATGAGTAAATCTAAATAGGGAGCATCCACTGGCTAGAACATAGGAGGTGGAGCCTGGCTGCTGTGTTTTTGCTTTGGGGCAACAAAGAAGGTACTCACTTCGAATGATGCTCACTTTGGGGCTTTTGTGCCAAGGGCACAAGGCTGTTGTCCGGAGGACAAGCTGGACTTTGGTCCCACTCACCCCCTCACCCAAGCACTCCTGTAAATATAAAGCCTGCATACGTGTACCATATGCAGAGGTCCTGCCTGCTGGGCGAATAGGCCCAAGGTGCTTCATTAAGAAAACAAAAACTTGGGGGATTAGGGGCCAAAGGGTGAGTGAGGGGCTCTCAGGCAGTGCTATCATGATTGACAGGATTAAAAGTCTTGAAATATACAGGATTTTACTTTTTATGAAATATTTCTAATTTACAGAAATAACAAAAATCTGAGTTAACAGCAACCAGCTTAAGAAAGAAGATGTTACAACAAATGTAATTGAGGCTCCCTTTGGACCCCTCCCCAATCATATTCCTTTTCTTCTCCCTCTCCTGGGGAAGTAAGCCTTTTCCTAAACTTGATGATTAATTCCTATCCATATGTTTATGCTTTTCATATTGGGTATCCCTAAGCAATGCATAGTATTGTTTTGCACATACAGAGAATATCATCCCATATTCTTCTACAACTTGCTTTTTTCACTCAACCTGTGAGCCTTATTCATGTTCCTGAAATATGTGGCTACTGTTAATTTATTTTCATTATCATATTGTATTCCATTTAAAGAATATATCCAGTATTTATCCATTCCTCATTAAAATATTAAATTTTTTTCATAACAATGCTACCCTGAATCAATATTCTTATATAATCTTCCTCATCATTCAAGAATTTCTGTAAAATGTATTCTCTTTCTCCCCTAACCCCATGTGTGTGTGTGTGTGTGTGTGTGTGTGTGTGTGTGTGTGTGTGTCAGAGTGGAATTGCTGGGTCATAGATTATGTGCATTCACCATTGGGTTGTTGTCCAATTGCTCTCAAAAGTGATGGTACTTCTTTGTGCTTCCTTCAGCAGAGAATAAGAAACCCCATTACCCATAAATCTACATCCTACCAACACTTCATACTGTAAAACTTAACTATTGCAAATCTGATACATGCAAAATGAAATTATAGTTTAAATTTTAATTTTTCTGGTTACAACTACATCTTCTCACTTATTTGTTGGATATTCTGTGTACTCTGTTTTGCATTATCTGTTTATTTCCTATTGGGTTGTTCATATTGTGTTTATTTCATAGGGCCAGGTGGGAAATATTTTGGGCTTTATGGGCCATACTGTTGCTATCACAACTACTCAGCTCTGCCACTGTAGCATGACAGCAGCCATAAAGGATAAAAAAACCAACAACAAATAGATGTGGCTGTGTTCCAATAAAACTTTTTTTGGGGAAAACACATGTTGTACTAGTTCTGGCCTGTGGACCATAGTTTCCCAACCCTGTTGTATGGGTGCTGATCCTTTACTGAAACCTGATTATCTTTAAAACCACCTTTAGGATTATGTATTGATAAAATCAGAGGAAGGTACCTCAAAGGTTACCTCCTTTCCCTTTATGCTGAGATTGTGTCCTTTCAAACTTCTGGTCTCCATGCTGAGCTCATGCTGAAAATTATATTGCAGAATGGGCCAAAAAGAGCCCATTACAAGCTTTCAAATGCCCCCTCTTCCTCCAATGAATGGCTCAGAAATTGTCCTGGTCACTTAGGGTTTATCATTTCATCCAAAAGGCACCCCTGATGCAATCACATGACCTGTGAAAAATGGCTATTGCCTTTACAAAAGCATAGTTGCCAAACCTACCACCTGAAGTTAGAAGCTGAATATGTATAATAAAAATATGTAAACACACATGGGTATCTACTTGCAT